CGGACAGGCGGCAGCGCCCGGACAGGCGGCGCAACCTCCGCCTCCACCCCGCCGGCTGCGAGCCCGCAGGGTTGACCTGGGCTGGCTCCCGCCCGCGGAGCCGGTCCCTCGCAAAGAAGTGACTTGGTGAGACAGAGGCACAATCTACCGCTCAGACACGCTGGCGGCGGCTCGGGGGGCCGGTGTTTCACGGGTGTCTCGCAGAGAAACTTTAATGGCTGCAAATCAGCACAAACCATTCGAATAAATGGGAACTTGCTTCCCTCAAGGTGCTGGCATCTTGCTCAAGGTCTGTAAAGGATTTCTGGTTTACTTTTGACTAGAGAGAAGGGATGATGTAAGCTCTCAAACACATTGCATTTTCTCACTTTTTGCAGGGGGTCTCTTCCTCCAAATAGTACAAGGAGATTCCATTTTTTTGAGCTTTCAGCAGCAAATAGGTCTTCAACAAATCTGTTCAAACCTACTCACTCGGTTTATTTTTCCAAGGGGAAAGGGGACAAACAAGAGAATTAAAAATGTTAAAATACTTAAATATTATCACATTTATAGTCAGAAAAAAAATATGTAAGTCAACTGCATTGAATTTTCTATTAACTTTTAAATATTCACCTCAATATACATTTGTTCTTTAGGACACACAAGAGATAAATAATTGAGTTAACATTGCTAGATAAATCAACTCTTTTTCCTGAGTTGCAAATATTCCAGATTATAATCTTGAAGCTGCTATCCAGTAACTGCAAGTGGAAACTAAAAAGATCAAAGTGAGCAAGCAGGAGCCCACACTTGAGTACCCAGAGGCCCCACTTACTGAGACATACAGTTGCACCCCCATCATTTCAGAGCAGTAAATTAAGACTGAATGGCTCTTAAATGTAAAACCCAGCCTGGCCACAAGCGCAGAAGCTCGGAATTTTGGCTTGTGCTATGAACAACATGAGGCTGCATGATTTAAAACCACCCCCCTCAAAACCAAGCCCATTACAATTTTGGGTATCTGTGGTTTCAAATGTCTAAGTAGATTGTGGTGACTCCTCCAGCCACAGACAGGGGGTACCTAGTTCCGTTTTGGCTTCAGGGTCTTCCCTCTTCACACTGAGTACAGGGGTGGGGCTCATACTGCAGGAGTACTTGTGTCATAACAATGAACCAACCTCTCTTGCTTGGGAGATCAAGTACAACAGTCCAAACTACTCGCATACCATCCCCATTAGTGCCCGTGTGGGTGGGAGTGGACAGAAGGAATGAAGAGCTTCAGTGCTTAAACCCTGTTGGAAAACCCAATTTTTGTGAGCTGCAGACTTTGACAGCACCAGGACAACAGGTAAAGTCAGACAGCAAAGAATACTCTTTTATTGCTAGAAGCATCAACTGCTAGCCACTTGTGTGCAAGCAGACAGATGCTTTCCATGTTTCTTCCTTCTAGGCCAGGAAAACTCCTGATACAAAGGACAGGTAACAGTGGCAACACGAATCAGCTATGCAGAGTTCTTCTGCAACGGTGTGAACTTTTATTTTGCCAGAACAGCTGTTGGATTCTTGACTTTGCATGTCGCGTTGGTGACAGAATTGATCAGATTTGGTGCAGTATGGATCAGCACCATTTTTTTCTTTTTTCCAAAACCTAGCAGAATAGCAGGGTCTATTTACAAGCTTCTCTGTCAACTTCCCAAAGGAAATAGCAATGTGTGAACTAAATTTGCTCCCAGGATGGGCACTCTGTTCCAGCTACGATAAAGTTGGAATTTGATTATCTCAGATTTGAGTATATATTTCAGTGCACATGCACTTTGATCAAGAACATAAAACCTGTATCTGTAGTAAAAACTACTTTCTACGGCAGCCAGCTACAGATACGCAAAATGCACTGAATCAGATTACAGGACAAAGTACCCACGTGTGGGAGAGCACAATGTAGTATCCAACGCCCTTCAGGTTTATGAACTCTCCTCCCTCATTTACCTCACCTACCTTTATTTTAGATAGCTGCTAGCAGCTTCTGGCACTGCATCACAAGTGTAGCAGCTTATTGTTGAGACCACAAGGAGCTAAAGTGCTTGCTTTAGTGTTACAACCTTGACAGCAACATAGCTGCAACCACACCAGGTTGCCTTGGAGGGAGTTTCTGATGCTGAACTTTGAGCTTCCTGTCTGGAAGGCTGAAGGCTGAGTCTCCACTGCACACTCCACACAACGATGATCCAGGCTTGTTCTGTTCTCTCTTGCCCAATACTTGCAAATTTTATATGCATCAAGTCAAGCTGCAGCAGGATTGCTAACAATTTTGGTTTTTCTATTTTTCTTGCTGAAATAATGGGGTTTCATTAAGCCTGGTTAAGTAATTGGCTGGATTAGAAGGAACACTCCCTCCCCAAGTGTAACACTAGAAATGTATGATGCTGCTGGAGGCCTCTGAAATTATTTGCAGATACTCAGAACCTACAGAGAAGCTCTTCAGAGAGCCACTGCACTGCGCACGTTCTGAACCAACACTGTCCACACACCTTCCCACAGCACAACACACGTAGTCTCTAAGGGCAGAGTATATAAGCCAGTGGAAAACTATCACGGCTTATCTTCCAGCCACTCTAGCAATATCTGATGTAATTATAAATTCATTTGGCAGAGGAGTGTCACAAACACTTCATGCATGCAGAGAGACATATTTTAAATAAGGACTCAAAAGATCAGAAAAAGGCAAGTTTCCCTGTAGGGCTGATATTTCAGGAGTGCTTGGTACCATGCCACCTGCTGATACCACAGTGAGCCAGCTCTCCTGGAAAAGACAAGGCTCTTTAAAGAACACATCGCTAGACATTTCAGTAGCAGAAAGCACACATCATGGGGTAAGGGTACTCCAAGGAGGAGGCTACAGTGAAACAAAGACAGATGGAAATCAGTGCTTTGGTCCCCATCCAAAGGACAAGGACAGTGACTGGCCACAGCAACCCCTTTTCTAACAAGTATGCACACAGCAGCTCTGGTGCAGACAAGGATGAACAGCTTGAATTTTCCTTGCATACAAAAAAAGGGTACACCTTCATTCAAACCTACAAGAGCTTTTCGGCCTCAGTAAAAGATACTATTTTAAATAAAGGTAGTCATTCTAAAAGGTAGTCACCATGGCCATGCGCGTAGAACAACTTACAGGACTCAAACCTTGCTGAGTGGCAGAACAGCAGTATTCAATCAGGACATCTTCTAGAACAACTAGCCTAGGACTTGTAGTCAGTATCTTGACAATTTTGCAGAAGAACTTGAGTGTAAACAAAGTGCAACACTGCCCAGAAAGGGCATTCAGCTCTCAGGAGAAAGTGATGACAACTATCCTCCTTAGCTTAGATGGTGGAATTCAGGAAAGACTTAAGATTATCACAGTGCTTGAGCAACTGGTTACCTAGCTCTCCTGATCTTTGCACAGCACTGACAACTATTTTGGGCAACTACCTAGCTCTCTCCATCCAGAAGCATCAGCAAACTAAAAATAAGGATTGATCAAGGAGAAAAGTAACAGTTTGTGTGTTCCAAGATACACTCTCTCAGACACAGGTCTAGAAACAGCTGTGTTTAAAATGACATTCATAAAACTATTTTTTGTTTTGTTTCGCTTTTTAATGGCTAAGTGACCTGCCTCCCTTCATACATACTGGGGGCAGCACATGAAAGGAGAGCAACAAGCATTTTTGGAACTTGCTCACATGTGCAGGCCAGGAACAGTGTTTCTAGAAGTAATAGAGCTGAAAAATATGAAATGAGACCCTGAGATGCAGGTGAACACGGGAAAACACCCCATAATCCAGAACCCATCTGGAAGTAAAAACTAAGCAACGAATATTGAAGGGATTACAGACCAGAGCTCAGCAGGAGCTGGGCTGCTCTTGCTATCAATATAACCAACTTCTTTAAATACATGGAACAGCACAGAACACGATTTTGCAGCAGCTGGGACTGTAGAACACACCTTAAAAACTAAGCAAGAGTTTAGCACAGCATGGTGGCAGCCATGAACTGTTCAAGAACCATAAACTTTGAGAGAAATCAAGTACACAGCAAAATGCATCCTCCAACAGAGACAGGGGAGAACCTGCCTTGGTAAGAACCCTAATGCAAGGAACCCCTTTCAACAATCTTTCCTCATTCTGTCAATAATAGTCAAGATCGTTTACAGTGCACCTCCTACAAGGGAATGAGTTATTGCACAGTCTAAACAAAATGCACTAAGATGCTTGCTGCAGACACTGCTTGCTCAACATATCTTTCTAAAGCCAGGCAAAACTTAAGGAAGAGGTGCCATAAGAAAACATGCTAATAGCATTCTCTTTAATTTGCATGTGAACTTTTTTTTTTCTTTTAAACAACTGCTCTGAGTCCTTGTTTGCTGGGCAGATATAACAGGTCACTCTACTCTGTAGTTTCCGTTTCCAAGTTGGCTGTATGGCACATGTGTCCATGAAGGTGCTGGACTTGGTTTTACACTCATAAAAGCTGCTCAGAATCAGCCGTTCAGTGTTTAAACAACCCGCAGGAACTACTGAAGTCTCTGAGCCTCTCCCTCACCAAAAAGCTAAGGAAAACAGACATGGTGCAAGTCAGGGGAAGAAGGTGAAGAAAAGCACTTAAAAGGTGCACAAGAGTTAAAATTTCATTTTCTTTCTGCCTTCCTCCCCTCTACAGAGTTGCAAAGAGGAGACAGAGGAAGAGAATCAGTAGGATTCAATGGAAGGCAGAAGGTTCCTGATGGGCTCACCGATGGCTCAGTGCTGCTGTATGGGTGATGACTCGCTGCTTCACTGCTGCTTGGTTTTAAGGGATAATCTCTGTATCATCTTGTAAAGGAGACCAAAGTGCTGGAAACAGAAGGAAAGTAACCAATCATGAGTCCTTAGCAATTCTAATAAAATGACTGTGTTCTACACAGAGAGAAAACTTACTGGAAGACTTAAAACAATACTGAATGTGCAAATGCAATACCTTGTCTGGATCATCCACTAGCACTCTCATGCTGAAGACAGAGTGGGACTTGGTAAATTAGGAGGAATTATTACAATGAAGCCAGTTACTTGAAGTTATACAGAAAATAATGGCTTATAGAAATGTTTGTGCAGGCTTAAATCACCCCATTGTGAAGATGCAAACACTTGTTAAAGATTTTACATTTGCTGATGCGATTCTGTCCCTTCTGAAGGGGAGGACAAAGCTTCAGATTTCAACACATGCATGATACTGGTAACTACAGAAACACTGCTGCTAGCAGTTTTAGGAATGTAAAAATTAACCAGGCAAACACAGAGATTCCCAGTAGTTCACAATGCTTTTTCTCTTTCACCATTTCACTTAATTCTTCTTTTGATTCTGCTTTGATTAATTACATTTTGATTCGATAACAGCTACTTCAGATATTTGACAGATACAACAAGATCCAGGCTTCAAATAATTTGTAATAATAAACATAATGAAGATAGATGACAGAAATCAAAGTATGTTTTCCCTCCTGTTTATGTTGCTACATTGGATTTTTAAATGCTTATTGTTTCCTCAAACACAAACAGACAAATAACATGAAAAGACCAAAATTTAGATTGACCTAAAATGCTCCCCTTTCATTCAGGTTCTTCAGAGAACCCAGCCAGGATCAGAAACCTACCTCACAATGGCTTTGTTAACACCAAACAAAACCACTAAATTTAAGCTTGCTGGCCAAGATGTAAAGTATCACATTTCCAGGAGTATGGACACAGGATTTATTTATGGTTTCATTGAAAAAAAAAAAACAAAAAACAAAAAAACCCCAAACAAACTACACCAAACCAAAACCCTGAAGATGCATTGCTAAGC